CTTAATCTGTTTCTGGCTTCACAGATACAGGCTGTCCCGTGGGCTCGGCGGCCTCAAGGAAGCAGCACTCCCTCCACGTCGGAAGCAGCCTTCCCCTCGTCCCGGGAAACCAGCTCCAGCTCCGTCCCACGGAGAACCACAGGCTTATCCAGCGGGTCAGAGTCTCAGAAACAAACTACCAGGGCCTCACCTTCCACAAAACAAACGGGTTCCACTCTTGGAGGACAAGTAGGGCAAGCATCAGGACGCCCATTTTACAGGTTAGAAAACTGAGGCCCAGAGAGGTCCAGCAAACGGTCCAGAGTCACACAGCCAGTAAGTGAAAAGCTGGGGCTTAGAACGGGTCTTCTGGGGCCCCACCCATCGTTTTTTTTTTTTTTTCTTTTCTTCTAGAGATTGAGCTTTCCAAATTAAAAAAGCAAAAACCCAACTTTTAGTAAGACTTGCTCACTCACCTTGAGTGTCCCTCTGTAACTGTTAGACACAGGGGCCACCTGGTCCATGTTCTTGATTCCAAAATCATTCATCTTTAAAAAAAAGAGGAAGAGGAGAATAGTCAGAGGCAAGTGCTCCTTTTTTAAGGAGTCTTCGCTGGCTGCAGACCCCCTCCCCACTCCCCGTCAGTCCAATCCTACAACTGTAAAATCATTCAGTAACATCGTTCAGAACCGAATGCCAGGGATTCTTATTTAAAAGGCCCTTCTCACAAAGGCTATGCCATTTATGTCGCTCAATAATAATGCCGATTCCCACTGAATTCCACTTAGAGATGAGGCACACCGATAAAGGCACTTTCCGGCTGGCCGCCCAAGGCAGCCTGTGTCCCTCCACAGGAGGGGCTGCTGTTGGGGGGGGGGGGGGGTTGAGGGGGACCCAGAGGGATGCTAGGGGACCAGGGCTACCTCCTGTCTGCAAGAGGGGGATCCTCAGGGTTGGGGATCCTCAAGGGTGACCCCCCAGGCAGCTCCAGGAAAGCATGCTGGGTGGGGCCAGAAGGCCCCTTCCTCTTATTGGAGGAATTTCTGGCCCAGGAAGATCAAAGGGAGACCTGTGGCTTCAGACCAAACCCTCTCTCAGGGTCCCACCTCCTCCCCAGATCCTCCGGGTCCCAGATCCTCCCGTGTTAAATACACGGCTCCAAACACGTTAGCTCCGTGAGTCGCCCAGCTGTGCCCTCCCTCAGAGGAGATTCTAAGCGCAGACCTGCCTTACTTGCCCTGATAGCATCTGGGCTCATGCTAGACCTGCGATCCCAGGGTGGTGGCCACAGGCCACATGTGGCCGGCCGATCCGGCCTGAGATGCGCTCTGCATGTAAAATACACATGCAGGTTTCAAAGATCTCACAGGAAAAAGTAAACCCTCTCAGTAATAATGTTAGGTTTACTGCATGTGTATGTAACAGCTTGCATATACTCAGTGAATGGAAATCTACTGAAATTAACTTCACCTATTTTATATATTTAACGTGACTATGACCGCATTTATAGCTACATATGTGACTTGCAACGGAACCGTGCTGAGATAGGCCGAGAACTTATTTGGGGCCCTAAAATGGAATTGGTTGGTTATATATTAGTAAGTGAGAAGGGTACATAGATAATGCCACCAGGATGCTAGAGAAAAAAACCCAGAGAAATGAAAATGAAAATTCATTTTCAAATAAGCTGGGTTAGCATAGCTGATCGTAACCTTTACCCTACTGGCTTTCTGGCCGCGGAACTGAAGGCTTACCAGGCAGCTTTAGGGGTTGGCTAATTGCACCCGCCCGCCCCGCCCCATCTCCATGGGGTGTTCCCGCCTGTTACAACTAAGACCTTCGAGTAATTAAAATATTGCTTAATATTGCGCAACTGATAGCACTTACTGGAGGTGGCAAATAGCATATTTCCCCCTAATTGGTTTTTTTGTGCTTTCTTGTTTTTTCTTTATGACCAATGTTATAGCTAAACCAGACCTCCCAACGACTCAAAACACACACACACACACACACACACCCCTGTCCTGGCTGGAAAGGCAGCGTGGGAGGTGAGTGTCTGCTTCAGGGGAGGCCAGAGGCACTGCCCAGGGCTGTTAAACCCTCCAAGTGCCGGTAATTATGGGGGGGGGCAGTAATTATCCTGGGGGGCCAGAGGAGCCTGGAGCCCTGGGAATAATAATAGTGCTGTGGGGGGAGGGCCGGGGTGGGGAGGGGCTGTCCTGGATCCAACGCGGCCACATTTGCTCAACCTCCACTTGGTGAGCCGTGTCACCCACATGCACTCAGGCATCAATATTCATGCGACGGTGGCTGCACTGACAAGGCTCCTCCTCGCTCAGGGCTGGGCCTGCCGACGCTGAGGGTGGCTGTGACACAGTGCGGCCCAGAGACCTCCGGGAACGTGCCCAGGATCACACAGCTCCGGTGGGGGCTCCTCAGGGGCGCAGTGCGGACCCCATGGCAGCGGAGAGTGGCCCTCAGTCCTGGGCGCCCCCATGTGCCAGGGTAACCCACCACGTCCTACAGGCCGGACAGCACACAGACGTTGTGAGACCCGGCCCCTGCGTGCTACTCTTTAAGGTGAAAGGCTCCTTAATTCAGAGCTTTCTGTCATTGATCTGAAAGTTAACCTGTTGATACAGACACAAGCCTCAAGCAGAAGACCCATCTGCCGATGACCCACCCAGGCCGACTCCTTTTCCGCGGCCGGTTCGCAGAGGCTCGGTGACTTGGAAAATGGAGAATAAGTTCCCACCTTCACTGAGACGGACAGAGAATGGATGTGGAAGGGGCGATGGAAAGCCGGGCGGGGGTTTTTGTGTACAAATACTTGGGGGAAAAGGCAGTCTACCCCGCCCACATGAAGAGCTGTAATTACTCCTTACAGAACAGAATTCTTTTGTTGTCCAGCTTTTAATTTGTTTTGTAAGAACCATGCAGAATCAAAGTGGATTCAGGCAGACACAGAACTAATCAAATTTAAGTTCACTTCTTTTACTCAACATGGCTCCTTAAGGTGGCAGACAGGCCACAAGTCCTTTCCATATAAATCAATTTCAAGTGTGGGTCCCTTTGGTGTTGCCCTTTGGATCGCTGCTGGGGGGAGGGGGGAGAGAGAGAGAGAGAGAGAGAGAGAGAGAGAGAGAGAGAGGGAGGGAGAGAGAGAGAGAAGGGAGGGAGGGAGGGAGAAAAGGGGAAAAAGAGGCAGAAATGTAAGTGCTGAGGATGGTTAAATTTTTAAAACAAGCAGAACTTGCCTGACAACCGTACCCTTCTTGGAACAAGCGATCACTTATGTGAGATTAGACCACAGGTTTGTATTCGGGCAAATTTGTAAAGAAAAAGAAAGGAGCACCCCCCCCCCCACAATGTACTTTTTGAAGGTTGGTGTGCTTTTTCCTTTGAAAGTTATCACTTTAGTGAGAGGAATGACTAATCCCAACGATGAGTGTTTGCTATTCCCTGCAGGACCCACGGTGCTAGCATTTACTGTACTATGATATTACTCAGAATTTTAATAAACCTTAACTTGGAGATTTATCTGCCTGATGGGTGGCGGTGTGGGCAGGCAGATGGCGCACAGGCGCTGCCATTGTCCGGAACACATATAATCTCTTAGTGGTGAATGACAATAAATTACCCTTATCTCCAAGGGGACTGCTCACTGCTTCACTTTCTAATAAGGAGCGCGTCCACTACTTCAGGCTACCTTGAAACTGAATACAGGCCAATATAAAAAGTGCCTTATGCTTAAAAAACAAACACACAAAACAACCCTCAAATGCACAAGCGCTCGCTGATACCTGCATTAAAAAGACTTCAACAGGGAGAAAATAAAGACAGCCCTGCGCACCCATGTCCCCACTTCCCACAGCTCTCGGCGCTCGCCTCGCAGGGCCGAGGGGCCCCATCCACGCCCGGGCGCCCTCAGGGGGTCTTGCCCTCCAGGCCGGACGCGCGGGCCGCCCCGGCTCTGCTTCCCCGCGCCTCCCTCGCCGGCCGTCCGGGCCGGGCCCCGGCCGGGACCGAGCAGGTGACCCCGGCTCTGCGTTTCCCGGGAGCCGCAGCCTCCAGGTGTTTCAGGAGGCGGGCGCCCCAGATCCGCCGGGTCCGGCGCGCTCCAGTAAGTCCCCCGCAAACGCGGGCGCGCCGGGGCCCTCGGGCCCCCTCTCCCGAGTCCCTCCAGCCCCTTCGCGGAATCAGATCGGCCGGGCGTCCCCTGGAAGGACCCCCCCCCCAGTAGGCCCCCGGTTCCCTTTAAAAACAAAAGCAAGCGAGACAAGCCGGCGCGCACTCCCGCCCCAGCCGGCTCGGCCACCCCCGGGCCGCGGCCCAAGTTCGCACCAGCTCCGCGAGTCACGATCGGGCCCACCCCGCACCCTGTCCCGGGCCCCGCGTCTCGGCCGCCCCCAAAGCCCCCCCGACCACCCGGCCCCGCAACACGAGCCCGGAGAGGCACGGAACCCAGACGCGCGGCGCCCGGTCCTAGGAGTCGCCGCCACCCCGCCTGGACCCCGGCGTCCCGACCCGTCGCTGCCGGCTCCCGGGCCCGGGGTCCGAATCCCCCGGGAGAGGAGCCGGCGGGCGCTCTGCACGTACCCCCCAACCCGCGCCCGCCCGCCCGGACCCCGCTCTTACGGCGCCGCTTGGGCAGGGCCGGCGCGCGGTCGGCGGCAGCTCCTCGAGGCCCGGGCTCCTGGGTGAGCGCGCGGCGGGGAAGATCGCGGCCGGGGCGCGGGGGGCGGGGGGCGCTCCGGGAGGCCGGGCGAAGGCGGGCGAGCGGGCGAGCGGGCGAGCGGGCGGCTCCGGGCGCTCGGGGCTGGGCTACACCGCGACCCGCACCGCCGCTGGAGGAAGTAACCGGCCCGGCCCCTTCGCGGCCAGCTCTTCAGGATCCAGGCGGGGAGGAGGAGGGACAGGGGGAGGGGAGGAGGGGCAAAGAGAGGGGAGGGCGGGGCCGAGGGGCGGAGAAAGAGGAGAGGGGAGGGAGGGGAGGGGGGCGGGGGCGGGGTGGGACGGAGTCGGGGTGTCTGGCTGGACCTCGCCGGCACCCGCTGTCGCCGGGCGCTGTCCCCGCTGCGCTGAGCCGGGTGGTGCTCCCGGGAGCGGGGCGCGGAGTCTCCCCTGGGCTTCCTCCCCTTGGCCCGAGGATTTGACATCAAACGCGCCGCTCCCATTCGGCCGGGGCCAGCGGACCGAGCGGCCGCAGGACTTGGTTAATAAAGGGCCCCATTCTTGGGCCTCTAAGTAGACTTTTTGTTTCTGATCATTCTTATCCTGAAAAGACTCTAAATGACATGATGAGCGGACCCTTGGCTGGGTCGCTGAGTCCGCCCGGCTCCCGGAAGCCCGGTCGCCTCCGTGCCAGCGGCGCCCCCTAGAGGCGAGCGGCGCCTTAATCGTGACCAACGTGAGCGTCTCTGGGCTAATGCGCAGGGCAGTTCTCCGCTGCACCATTGTTCCCACTTAAACAGGGAGGGTGAGGGGGCGGCGGGGGGGCCGTAAATAACTTGCCCCGTCGTAAGACGTACAACTCCCGCTCATGGTCAAAACCATCAGTTCCCATTTTTAGCAGAAAATACTTGAGTCGGTGGCTAGAAATGTGTGCATTTCCTATGCAAATTCATGTCAAGATTCTCAATATTTTGGAGGGCGATTAGCTGGATATAAAATAAAACAGCCCAGCCTAGGCTAGGCCATGGGACTTAACATCGATGCATCTCAGGGACCCAGTGCTGTGAAGGGAGAGGAACGGCCTCACTTCTCTGTTACCAAGGTTCCCGGTTTCCATGGCAACCCTACATCCGGAGTTATTGGGATAATTGAGATACTACCGGTGCCTTAACGTTTCCAGGTACCTGAGGGTCTCCAGGTATCATCACTGCATGGGCCAGCGACAGGGTCTACACGGCTGAAACAACCAGGTGCAGAGGGGATACTGAATTCATCCTGGTGGCTTCTCAGTGTATATTCAGGCCCCATCAGCAACCACAGATGATAGGTCAAGAAGAGTTTCACCAATGGAATACAGATCCACCGTGAGTTACCATGGAGACACGGAGAGTATGATACTTTTTATTTTGTAACGGTAGCAGAAAATACTGACTCCTCTGGGCTGCGGTTTTAGCTAATAGGGGGGACCCCCCACAGCCCTTAGTAGTGTCTGAGAAGCTGGGTAGTGTCACCCAACCATGGGGTCAAGTTCAGTTGCCTAATGAGACTGCCTGTCCACCTGCTCAGGGCTGAGTCACTGAGGTCCAGGGACTTTGGGAAGGCACGGTTTCTCCTTGAGGCTCTGGTGCAGCCGGGGGGGGGGGGGGGGGGGACAGGGGGGCACTTTGCTCCCCCTGGGCCATTTCCAACATATCTGAGCAGAAAGACGTCAAAAGAAAGGAGCATGGCGACTTCCAGGCAATCCCTTCCTGACAAGCAATTTTCCTCTGCTCTAAGTGGTTAAACCTTGGGCTCCTCTCCTCCGTAGACGTGTGCTAAGCAGTCGGACAGACAGGAGCAGAGCAAGGACAGGGCTGGGGACAGTGGGTCACCAGGGCGAAAAGCCCTGGGTGCCCAGCAAAGGGTGGGACCTCACCCCCAGGGTGACCTTTCCTCCCCTAGCGTAGGGATAGTCATGCAGTTTGGACCCCTGACCTTTCCTCCCTAGAGATAACATCTCGGCCTCGGTTGTATGTCAGCTCCAGGCCCAGAAAAGCAGCAAAACCAGACCAGCGACCCCATGGCTGCCTCAGGACCAGCTGCATTGAGGAAGGACCCCCTGCCCTGGTGCCAGCCGCCTGGTCAATCAGCTCTGAAAGGACACACCTGGAAAGCTGCTGAATATTCCATTAGGAGCTCCTGGGACCTCCCCTCAAATCTCCACCCTTAAAGCCCTAGGACTGAGGACCCAGTGTGCTTGCTCTCCCTCCTGGGAGCTGCCAGAACCTTTCCCTTTTCCTGTTCCTGTTCCCTCCCCAGACACCGCCCCCCCCCCCCCCAGGCTTGTTACCATTATCATTACCTTCCTCACTCCCAAGCTTCCAGGGCTCTTCCTCTACCTCATAACTCCTTTCCTCAGCCCGTCTCTTCTACGAATGACTTCCTCTACCTCTGTGACTTTAGAAATAAATATTCTCTTCTAGTTGAGTCTTGGCTCTGAATTCTTTCCCAGACAGAACCCAAGTACCGAGGTTGCTGAACCCAAGTCCAGTCTGACCCTATGGGTCTAAGACCCAGTGCCATGGGCGCCGCCTGCAAGGGAAGAAAAGATGATTCTGGAACCTACATCATCAGGCTGGAATGGACACTGGGCACAGAACCAAGTAGGTCAAGAATGTATCAGTGTTGAGCACATGGTAGAGAGGCTCAAAATGATCTAGCTATTACGTTTCTTTTTCCACGCTCTCCTCTGGGAGCATCTTATGAAAGAGACCCTTTGGGGAATATATATATATCCTAGTCCGTTTGGCTCAGTGGATAGAGCATCTGCCTGCGGACTGAAGGGTCCCAGGTTTGATTCTGGTCGAGGGCACATACCTTTGTTGCAGGCCTGATCCTCAGCCCTGGTTGGGGCATGTGTAGGAGGCAACCAATCGATGAGTCTCTCTCACATGGATGTTTCTCTCTGTCTCTCCCCCTCCCTTCCACTCTACAAATCAATGGGAAAATATCCTTGGGTGATGATTAATTAAAAAAAAAAATACACACACACACACACACTCGTCCCTACCCTCTCAGTGGTGAGTGTGTGAAACCCTATTGAAAATGATGAGACCAGAGCACACATGGCCGAACCGAGAGGGACAGGAGGCAGGGGAGGGAGCCCAGGTCACACCACCTGGACCCGTGACTCCCACGCAGGCCACACCCTGAGTCCCTCATCCAGCCAGCACCCTTGTCCTGGGCCCTACACTGTGGCCAATCCCGCTCTGTGCCTGGGGGGTCGCATGGTCATAGTAAAATGGCTTATCCTAGTTCTGGGGGATAGCAGGCTTCCTAACATTTCTTACCTCTCTGTTATTAGTCGGTTTCCTAGTTACTCAGCTGCACTAAGACCTGGGCCTGGCTGAAGCCTGCGATTACTCATTGACTATTATGGCTTAATTTACCGAGCTTCACAGTAAATCAAACCCAATAAAAGTCCGGCCCTTGTGCTTCAAGATCAAAAGTCGAAGGTGTTAGGAGGAAATTAACAGTCAGAAGTCACCTGGGCTGACATGATCAGAGGCACCGTGTCCGCTGAGCGCAGAGCGGCCTCTTTTCCCTTAGAGAGAAGCCCCCAGGGGAGGGGGAAGGGAGACTGCAGGGGGGCGCGTGCGCTCTAAAGGCCAAATGTCTAGGGAGTAAATTGCAGATAAAGAGCTCTTTAAAGTCCAGACGTAATTATTAAAAATGATTAGCTTTCCAAGCCATCCCGTAAAAAATCAGTAAAAACGTTTCCTTAGAAACATGTCTGTTTCCGTTGAAACCCAGCTCAATAGTCAACATACAGTTGGAGGTGGTTTCCCATGCAAGCTGAACAGACGTCCTGGGTCTGAGCGGTCTGATGTATTCACTCAGCAAACAGTGTCACCTGCTGAGAAGACAAAGGTGAGGAAGGCTTAGAGCTAGAAAGAATTTCATTCATGCATATTGGCACCTGTGTCTGCTTTGCTGCCCATTCACCCGCCTCCCTGGGTGGGGATTAGAGGTAGCAGTTATTCCACTGATACTTGTTGGGGGACAAGGAACGGATAAAGGGAAGCTTTATACCATCCCCAACCCCCACCCCCTCACCCCATCTCTACCTCCCACCTCCAAGTGTAGGTACAACAGGTCTAATATCCACCTGGCCCTCCACTTCATGCCCATTTGTAGCCGCCACAGGGACCAGGAACCCTCAGCTGACCTGGGCTCACCTAGCTGCCTCCCAGCCCCCCAGCAGGGTGGTCCCAAACTGGGCAGGGGCAAGCAGTTCTACCCAGGAGGTCACGGTTTGATCCCTGGTCAGGGCACATGCCCAAGTTGTGGGCTCCATCCCCAATGGGGGCGTGCAGGAGGCAGCTGATCAATGATTCTCTCTCATCATGGATGTTTCTATCTCTCTCTCCCTCTCCCTTCCTCTCTGAAATCAATAAAGATACATTAAATAAATGAGTAAATAAATAAATAAATAAATAAATAAATAAAATTCCTGGGAATAGGGAACTAAGGTGGGACTCTCCTGGAAGTCCAACCCTTTTCCTAAGGTCCCACTGTACTCGCTTGCAGCCTCATTTGTCCCTTCGGCTCCCTGCGGGCACAAAAGCATAATCACGATGGAGCCTCTAATCTTAACCTGTGAAGGGCAGCTTGTGGGATCCGATGTCCTGAGGTCGAATCCCAGCTCAGCCTTTCACTGGCCCTGCGACGGGGTTGACGGTGAACCCCGGGGCAAGTTGCTGAACCTCTCTGGGCCTCAGTTTCCTTCCCTGTCAAATTTGCATAACAACAGTACTTTTGGGCAGGACTCCCTGAGGATGCAGTGAGTTAATGTTTCTTAAGCACTGAGAACAATGCCCAGCGTATCATTAGGCCGAGGGTGTGATGAATAAGAGGCCCCTGACGGCGGGGAACCCCTTCGCCATCCGGCAGCCTCCCTGACCTCGGCTCTCCTTCGGACCCCAGGCAGGATTTCGGTCACAGCAGGGAGTGGGAGATCAATAGGGGCCACGCCTACCTTCACTATAATTCTCTGGCCTTTGGTGGTAAGAGACGGTGGCGTGAAACACTGGATTTTAAAACTGGAGAACACTTTAGAGCAGTGGTTCTCAACCTTCCTACTGCCGCGACCCTTTAATACAGCTCCTCAGGTTGTGGTGACCCCCAACCATAAAATTATTCTCGTTGCTACTTCATCACTGTCGTGTTGCTACTGTTATGAATCGTCATGTAAATATCTGATATGCAGGATGTATTTTCATTGTTACAAATTGAACATAATTAAAGCATAGTGATTAATCACAAAAACAATATGTAATTATATATGTGTTTTGCGAAGGTCTTAGGCGACTCCTGTGAAAGGGTTGTTCGATCCCCAAAGGGGTCCCAACCCACAAGTTGAGAACCGCTGCTTTAGAGAGTTGATATATGAGACCAACTCCTGTTTGTCTAAGGCCGTGGTCGGCAAACTGCGGCTCGTGAGCCACATGTGGCTCTTTGGCCCCTTGAGTGTGGCTCTTCCTAAGCCTTAGGAGTACCCTAATTAAGTGAATAACAATGTACCTACCTATACAGTTTAAGTTTAAAAAATTTGGCTCTCAAAAGAAATTTCAATCGTTGTACTGTTGATATTTGGCTCTGTTGATTAATGAGTTTGCCGACCACTGGTCTCAGGAAACTGAGGCCCCAGGAGGGTCAGTCCTCCCCATGGCCCTGGGGCTCCCTCCTGGCAGTGGGGACCACAGTCCTCCCTGACAGCAATTTGCCCTTATAAGGCAGTCCCTGGAATATCTCTGGCCGCCCAAATCCCCCGTGTTAGTTATTAAACTGCATGGGGACAGGCTTACGGCAAGTCCCAACAACAAAACCAGCAAGAGGACCTGTTGCATTCTGTAGCATCGATAATCCCTAAATAGTCAATGTGTCTGAAGTGTGAGTCAGACCCATACAGCTGGCCGTGTGCGTGTTTTCTGCATCACAGCATGGTTCCCACAGAGGCCCCGAACTGAAGAATGTGCAGAGCGTGGACTTCATTACTGTCACACCAACGGGACACTCAGCCACCGGTCTTCACACACACATACATGTACACACACACATTGCACACACACGCACACACACGCACACACACACACAGCGTCCTCAGGGTCGTGCCAGGCAGTCTAACAGATGACTGTTATGTAAGTTGTGTGCCACTTTGGGTGACAAAATAAAACTGGGCTGAACATTTTAAAGCAGAGGTGGGAATGCCCGGCCTACAGGCCATATAAGGCCCACAAACTCATTTGGCCTGGCCCTGCGTAGGCATGACGGGTGAGTTCATTAAATGTTTGACCACTGATAGCAGGCTAATGTTTAAGCTGATAATTCTATATGGCCCTCGAAAGATGTTACAAATATCCAAATGGCCCTTGGCAGAGAAAAGGATCCCCACCCCTGTTTTAAAGCGAAATAATGCACCAGCCTTAAGCAGGCGAGTGAGTGAATCCCTAGGACTTTGAGTTCTTCACGTCACATCCACACTTTTGAGGGTCGGCTCTCCAGCGGCTGCAAGGCTTTCCCCCACTTCTTTGCATTTGCGAATTTGGGTATCTGTGTCTTTCAGGCCCACTGAGCGATCAGCACCTCCTGTTTGTCTCTGAATAAGTCTCCTCCCTCGTGAGCTGTGCTCCAAGTTCATGCTTTCTTTACCCCTAAATGCCAAACCAAACTTCGCCACCTGACCAGGCCTCTGGTTCCGCTGAGCTGCCCTCACAGAACGAAGACCAGGGACGCCGGTCCCCTCACGCCCTCCACAGCAGCGCCTGCGTTTCTCAGTAGCAAGGAGGACGTTGGACTGTGCCTAGTGAGTCGTGCCTTCCTGTCTCTATTGTCACCCTGTATGTTAGTGTTTGTATAGAAAAATGAGTAGATATTTATCTGCACAAACCCCCTGCTTAGGAACAAAAAAAGCAACTGTCTGACATTTTATTTACTTATTTATTCATTCATCCAGTTTGCTGAGATATAACTGGCATGATTTGGCATTTTAGAAATGATTGCTCAGTGTGATGTGTGAATTAGAACACTCATACTCATTTCTAAAGACTTCTAGACATTACGTCGCTTCTCAGGAGAGTAGCCAGAGGGGTCCTGTTAAAATATCAGTCAGATCAGCGAAAAACCCGTCAATGGCCCCAGTGTGACTCAGAGGAAAAGCCCAAGTCCCTACCAGACCCGTGACCTGGCTGCCCTCCATCTCTGTGTCTGCGCCTGTCGCCTGGATCCTGGACCCCTTCCAGCCACCGGCCGCTGTGTCCCCAGACACCAGGGAGGCCCTTCCTCACGCTGTTCCCTGTCCTGGGAAGCGCCTGCCAGATGCCCCAGGGCTCCTGGCCTCCCTTCTGTCAGACCTGGAGGCACAGCCCCCTCTGCTGAGACCTTCCCTGGCTGTGACCTAGAAGGTCAACCACTCCCCTCTGC